ATGAAGCTCATAAAAAGCTCTACAAATAAGGTCCTATACATATTTTACTTAACTCCAATATTTTAATCATTATTATCAAAAAACTTGTAAAAGCCCCCGTAGGAGGGGCGGCATCCACGCATACACTTTCCACGCGAAACGGGGTTCCACGTGGGTTTACCCACGTGGGAATTTCTACGCAAAGCGAGATTCAATCCAAGCTATATGTGTATAGTTGTTTGATGGTGGAGCCTCCCGCAGGGCGGCGGAACACACTGCCTCCAGATTTTTGATAACGACTAAAATATTGGAGTTAGGTAAAATATGTATAGGACCTTATTTGTAGAGCTTTTTATGAGCTTCATTTTTTGTTTGACAACTTTTTCCGTACAATAAATTCTTTCTGAAATAATTAACAAAAACAGTTTTACCTTTGAGGGGGGGTGAAGGGGGCATTTACGCGAAAAATTTATTTGGGAATATTATTTACTAGATAAAATAATATTTGAGCTAAAAATCAGCCAAATCGGAGGTGATAACTTTTCGGAAGTTTATTCCTGACTTTTATGTATCAAGAATAGGATTTATAAATTAAAAACATAAGAATGTAAAGATATGTAAAGATATTGTTATTCTAGGCAAGGAATTGTGATCGATTAAAATGGTATAGTAAACTTACCTCACCTGTTAAATTTGTAAAAACTAGTAAGTATTTTGTTACAATTTTGATTGTATTGTTATTTTCCATTTTGATTATAATTTCTTATTATATGTTTTTTAATTTTAATGCAGGAAATTGTCATAAATTAAGATCACATCTTCGTGCTCGCAAAAATCCCATAATCATTAACGGGATAAAATCACTTACCGAACGAAGGATGCGATTAGCCGCTGCATCAAATAATATCATGATGATGGAAGAACTCTTGAGCAATGGTGAATCACCTAACTGTTTTGATCTACAAGGGCGAACTCCACTTCATCATGCAGCTTGCAGGTAATCTAAATGATCATAGTAAATACACTTCTATATATATTTTTAAAACTATTTATTACCGCATTTAGTTACATATCCTTTGTGATTTAAACAAGTAATAACATATTGCCAGTTGATCGAGTAGATCTACCTGTTTCATGAGTTATCACTGAATGACCAAATGGGTAGATCTATTTATTACACACAGTTCGAAAAAACTGCAGTGCGCAACTCTAAGCTTATACTTACTCGAGTTGGCAAAGTGGTGTTAAATATGAGGTTAATTTTAGTGATGTTGGATGCAAGATTTGAATTGCTCATAATGTTTTAACGTATCTATGCACATCTACTTTTGTAAAAATGTCCTAATAATACTGAATATTAGTATAAAATTAAGATAGTACAACTATGATAAGCTTTAACTTTTATTTTTTTTTTATTGTGTATTTAACGTGCCGTCAACCATATAATATTTAGTTGCTTTTTTGACACTGGTTTAACTTTTATATTCTCTCACGCAGAGGTTATACAGACATGGTTCGTATATTGCTGGAGTATGGAGCAAACCCGAATCAACGTGATTGTATTGGTAACACGCCGCTGCATCTAGCCGCAGTCACCAGCAAAATATCGGTAGTGACATTGCTCTTAGGAGCTGGTACTGATGTTCATCTGTTAGATAAATATGGTTACAATCCGTTGCAATTAGCGCAAACAAAATTGAAGCTTTTTCAGAACTGCAAAGGTGGAGAAGATATGATTAAAGTCAAGGAAGAAATGCGTCATGTAGTTGATATGTTAATGGTGTATTTTCAAAAGCAAGAGAAAAATACTCAGATTGAGATAGAAATGTTGAGTAACTTCTGCTCACGTCTTTCATTATCTAACACCTCAGATCAGGTTCAGAGCGACGTTAAAGATTTATTGATGAACATAAATGCTCTCAGTATAACAAGTTAATCTGTTCACATAGGACATGCCCTTATAACGTAACGCATACCGTTTATACACACACATCAAATTTCTAAATTTTTCTATTTTACATATATATAATTTTTACAAATATGTGTGTTATTTTTGGAAACTATACATATGTTTATCAGGATATTGAAACGTTTGAAAATTTTAAACACTAGCATCTATGCATTAATGATGCAAAAATATCTTAAAATAAACAGAATTCTCAGACTCATACGTTTTTAGTGAGAAAATGTAATAAGAAAATAATAATTTTTTAAAGCACGAAAAATAATTGTATATCATCAGGAATGTGTGTTTCCCAATAAAATGCACCATAGCTGTATAGATAAACAGCACAAACATGTACGCACACAGCTTCCAAAAATAATGCGCATATTTTTGGTATTAATATTGTAAGGCCCTGTGCACAACAGAAAAAATATTAGGAATAGGAATAAATATTAAATATTAGGAAGAAGAATTTGGAATTATTTTATTTCAAACAAAGGAATGAAATGGATTAGTTATTTCTAATTCTTAAATTTTTTCATGATACGATAATACATCCCATTTTCTTGGTCTGAAATAAAATAATTCCAATTTTCTATTCCTAATACTTAATATTTGTTTCTATTCTTAATATTTTCTCTATTGTGCGCATTATGTTTAAATTTGGCATAAAACAAGTTGGAAATAATGACAAATTTGCAATCTCTATAAATTCAATACTTTTAAATTAGGTACAATTATGTTAATGCGTGGAAAAAGTACAGCATCCTCATATTTCTCAATTATGTTTATAATAGTGATAGATTGAAGAAGACGAACAGCTTTTTTATTCACCTTTTGTATCTGTAGTCTAGGATCATGTACGAATGTGTAAATAATCTTTACAATAATTTTATAAATGCTGTATATAATCCATCTTTAATAATTGTAACTTTATTACATGGAAGAAATAAATGAGCATATGCAAAACTTCTGTATTATAATTATATATTCTTTGCATTAAGTGTAATTTACTAGTGTAATTCTAATTTGTAAACAGATTAAATAGTTTAGTATAATTAAATTTTTATCTAATAGCATTTTCGACTGACAAATTTGATGCTATTTTTAATAATTATAACATTAAAATATAATTTGAGCATTTTAAAAAAGCTTGCGAGGGTTAATGAGGACCTTGAAAAATCTTAGCCGTTATGTGACTCCATCCTTTATTTCTTTGCGAGTGTGTAACAGCTTTGGAGGACGCGCAACGGTCAGAAAACGCTTAATCGCGTCCTTACAATTTTTATTTCTCTTCTAGGATCTCTGTGTGAAAGGAAGACAGCTAAAGCGCCATCGTATGATTAATTCGAAAACTCTAATTTTAGCCAAGACTCAAATCATTTTTTTAAATAACATTTTTGCAATAATTTATGTTGCAACATACATATTTTTAAATACATATGTGTATATATATA